GTTCGGAATTACTAGATGATTCCATATAAAGGCTTTGACCGTCGTAGATGTTGGAGGAAACAAATGGCATTGAGGGCAGAAGCTGCTGATGATGATGATGCAGATCTTGAAGAACAAGCAACCACAATGGCTAAGCGATTACAATGGCAAATTGGTTCGAACTATTTCACATATTTCTGATTTTTTTTTTATCTTCAATTATTATTAACATTATTAATAACGGTAACTTCTTGTAGATGGTGAAATTGGTGAATTGGAAGCCGAAATACATAAAAAAATGACAGAGTTCCAGGGTCTAACATTTGCGCAATGGTTCGACTTTTCCATAAGGGTAAGTTATCGTTTAAAACAATTAACAAGGTAAACTTTGATATATTTGGTAGTTTAAACCAATAGTATAAATTCTAAGCTTTTAAAATTTATTGTCTAAGCTTTACTATTGTACAATCTATTTAATGTCTTTACAATCATGATGAATCCTTAATAGTATATTTTTATTGCCACTACATACGGTTATGAACAAGAAGCTTTTGATGTTCTCCGAACAGTTTCTAGAGCCAACGTTTTTTATCACAATAGTAAATATAAAACTGGGTTTAAGCTATTATTGCTAGGTAGGTACTGGAATTTATGTACTTATTTTTTCACAACGTATTAATGCTTACTGTTTATTTGACAAAAAGCTTGGGGGCTTTACACTCGCAACTTTTTAGTTGTATGTGAAAGTACAAGATGGTTATGCAACTTTAAGCCATTTGATAGCAGAGTTTATAGATTATATGGAGCAGGCATGGCTAGGTATATTGTTATTTTCTGAATTTAAAGTTTTAAATCATCTGGACCTTTATTGATCAATTCAACAAAAAATTGTTTTAGTGGCACAAATGCTTTATCATGTTTTGCATCAGCAAATTCGCAGAAATATTTTTTACGTCAAGTTAAATCAATGGATAATATCAGTGCTTCTGGAGACAAAAAAGCAAATGCTCCGGAAAAACCTAACGATGCTTTATTAGCTCTTTACGGCCATATATTAGCAAGTGCCAGGAGTTATATTGGTGCTATTGGTAAATTTATATTGTGAAAATCAGTATGAAGTAGCGAGGTTCAAAATTAATGATATTAATTACAATTTATCAGGTTATTACGCACGTGCTTATGCTGAAAACCCAAAAGACCCCGTAATTAGTTTATCTATCGGACTTGCATACTTGCATCGGGCGATGCAGAGACAAACCGATAATAGACATCTGCAGATTATGCAGGTAACTATTCTGAACGAGATTTACGCTAACAGCTGGTGTTAATTTTTCAGAACATGTACTTTGAATAGGGCTTTACATTCTTGTATAATTATTATGAATTGAAAGCTCGTAATCAAGAAGCAGAATATAATCTTGGAAGAGCATTTCATCAATTAGGTACTATTTTTTTTCTCTTATGAATTGGTAAAACTTCTCTTCTTAAATCGAGTATAATATTAAATCGCTTATTCATATAAAAGGCTTAACGCATTTAGCAGTGCCTCATTATAAAAAAGCTCTTGAATTGCCATCTTTACAAAAAGTTCTTAGAGAACAGGAAAAGGTAATTTAATTTCCTTTTAGAAAAAATTCGATATTTACATTTTATTAAATGTCTGTATATTACTCAAATAATAATTAAAGGGGAATAATAATATAAGCGAAATTATTGATGAAGATGATCCAACAGACTTGAAAAAAGAAGCTGCATACAATTTATCTCTTATTTGCATTGAAAGCGGCTCCGTTGGATTAGCTGCTAATCTTCTGAAAAAGTACTGTACTATATGATCTTAATTGTTTAATGCTTGAAAATTAAGCTACTCTCTGTAAAATACAAACGTCTGCAATTTGAAACGCAAAATGTAAATACTTAATAGTTTAAAGTGATCTATAATGTGCCTTGGAATAACTTGCTCTTACAAATATTTTAATCTTAGGAAATAGGAATATACTCTTAAAGGAAATCTTATTACGACACCGCGTTATTGCAGATTGATCTTATTTGTAATTTTCTTTTTTCTGCATTTTACAATTATCCACACGATTCATTACAATTCAAGGTTAAGTGTAATGTGAAATCAATAAATAAATAATAACGCATCATTTTAGGTACCGCAGAGTCGATGGCAAGAACCATCAAAAATTTTTTAAAAGGGTTATTTAATTTAATTGATTAAACAAATCACGAGATTCGGAATTGCAAAGTTAAAATTTCATTTTTATCTTCCGTATTTTCGCGTAATAACGCTCATGAACGCTATTTTGAACATTGTGCCCTCTAAAAATAAGTTTTCAAAATAACACCCATGTGCGTCTCAAAATAATACGCAACAAGAAAGGGTATTTATTTATAGTAAGCAAACAAAAAATGCTTCAGAACTAGGTTTGGCATTAAATAAACCTATTTCAGGAGCATAGTGGGCTTTCATTATGACTAGCCAATTTTTGTAGATTTATTGGCTAATCGAAATTTATTGACGAATAAAAACAATATATAAGGTAAATTGGGGTAATTTGGCGCACTTAAAAATTGCTAATAGTAAAACTGAATGCTTACAACGTTTATAGAGCTTATACCTTCGCTCATGCACTTTAATTAAATAAAAAAAAAGACAACTTTTATATTAAGTCATTTTTATTATCCATCGAAAAAAGTAAGGTTTTAAATTTTGAGGGCAATTTGGCGCATCGTCCCTATTGATTTTTCAACAAATATTACCTAGCCAAACCAAAATATAACGGTTATCATTAACATGAGAGTCTACAATTAAGAAAAGATGCTAAGATCTACATCAAACTTACTATAGACACGGTTTGAAACTGTTTTTATGAAAATATATAGACGAGAAGATGTGAGACAATATGGAGATAGGAAATTAGTAGAGGTATTACAACTAAAAAAAAACATAATAGCAGATCAATAAAAAAAAAAAAAAAAGTCAAGCCTAAGTATGGTTGAAACAGAATCGCAAGGAAGGGGTTCAAAGAGTGGAACTAATATAGAGGGATTGGAAAGAAATATTAGATTAAAGAAAGAAAAAAAGGAGAGTATAAAGAGGATAGAAAATAGATGGTTTAATAGTTTTAGAAAATAGTTGCAAATCTTTTTGATATAGTTTGTGCAGCTAACCTGGTATTAGCCTTTTGGTTATAAAAAAAATTTCAAACCAGTGTGACAGACTATTTTTGGGTGTCCATGAGGTAGCTGAGAGATGTTAAGCCTAAATATTAAGCTCAACATTATGTAATTTATTTATATAATAATCTTAATAAAGGATCACCAGCAAGATTACCAAAGATTAAAAAAAGTATAAATAAATAAATAAATAAAAATAATATTATTAATAATAATTATAATAAAAATTAATGATAATAAAAATAAAAATTAGGACTTAATTATTAGTAAAAAAATTGGAATATTCTATAGAATAGGTAGGCAAACTCTGCCAACTCTGCAACTCTGATATTAAAAAATTAATGATTACTAATTATTAGCAAAGCTTATTTCTTATATTGCCCACCTATTCTATAAAACATCCAAAATTGTTATAGTAATATTTTATAAAAAAGAGTAAAAGAGAAAATTTTAGCAAAAATTTTATTTATTTATTTAGAAATAACAAAGATAATATAAATTTAAAATAAAAAAAAATTTAAAAAATAATATTCTAAAGAGTATTTTATATTATTTTACTTTATTTTATCTATTCTGTTTATCTTCTTATTTTAGATAAAAAAGTCTTTTTTTAAATATCTTGGATTAGTATCTAGTAATATATAACTATATAAAATATATATTATTTATTTTTTGTAAAGTAAAAATTATAACAAAAAGTTACTAATATAGTATATAAGATGGCTTAAAGAACTATTTATATAATATGGTTATTAGTAATCTTCTGCTATAATTTCTTCTAGAAAATAAATAAATAATCTTCAAAAGCATGCTACTAAATATTATCAGACTATCACATTATTATTTTTACACATAATTTCATATTTATATTCATATTAGACTTTATTATTTTGAGCTTTGCTTTATATTTTTCTTTATCATTTTTGTCTTTATTTTTTATATATTATAATTTATCACATAATAAACTTTACTTATTTACTTTAACTTTTATTAAAATTTTCTTGTATAACAACTTAAAAATTAAAATTTGTATAAAACTAAAAACTTAAAAAAATATATATTGTATATAAATATATAAAAGATTCTTAATAATTAATATAAAGACCAAGAATCTTTTATTAAAAGATTTTGGTCACAATATGATTATTATAAATATGGTTATTTATATATAAAAAATTATACTAAAGGTAGTTATAAATAACACTTAGTGTAATAAAAGATTAATTAATATATAATCATATAACAAGTAATATATATATATATATTATTAGCAGCCTTGTCAATATCTTTATTAGATCAAAATATATATATTAAAAATATATTTAACTATCTAAGCTGTAGATCTGATATTATTTAGCTATTTAAATAGATGCTTAAATATAGTTTGTCTTACTAGTTATGACTTTGTTTATATTAAAGAGCTATATTAAGCTAGCTAGTAAAGCTATAATAAAATAATCTCGTTTTAAAGAAATTTTTAACTATATTCAATTAACAATTATTTTCTTTAACTTTATCCTCCTCTTTACAGTAATAATCTAATTTTATTCTACTATCTAATTTAGCTTTGTTTTTTACTCTATTTTAGCTAAATTTTAATCATTTATATTTAAGCTTTTTTCTTTTGTTTAATTCATTTTGTTTTTACCAATAGGTGATCTAATTCTTATAAGTTTTTTTTATTCTTCTTTTTAAACTTTTTATTTCATTTTGTAGCTTTGTATTTTTTTTTTATTTGTATTGATATCTGTTTAGAATCTAATTTATCTATCTATTTAGCTAATAAATTTTTTATTTTTCTAGTTTTTATTATTGTTTTGTATACTTTCTAAGCTTGTTTAATATATAATTTCTACTATCTACTCAAATATATTTCTTCATAGATTTCTAATTTAAATATTGTTAAAGCTTTTATTTTCTATTAAAGTTATTGCTAAGATTCTTAGTTTTGATTCTTCTGCTATTTTGTTTAAAGTTTTCTTTTTTTATAAGATTTTTAATATCTTTTTTTGTAATTTTTTATTTAGATAAGCTCCGTAGTTTATTGGTTAAGCTCTCAAACCCCCACAGACAAGGTCAATAGTTTAAGTTGGGCTGGTAGCAAATTTTAAATTTGCTACTATAACCTTATAGAGTTATAATCAGATATAAAGCCCTATGAAAAGTTCAAGTGCAAGTATGGTCTAGAAATAAGAATTCTTAGAAGGAGTCCTGATTATAGAGTGTAGGCATTATGTGTGATAGCAGCATCACAGAAGATCTAGGTGATAGAAAATTGTGCAAGTTAGTCCTCTAGTTGGAGTGATTCAGAGACAACACCAACATTCCTTCACCTTATATTAGGCAATATTAACATCTTCATATCCAGCTTGTGAGGTATTTGCTTGGAAGGATAATCAATGTATTGTGTGTATTAGTCCTAATTTAGAAATAGTGCTAGATACTTGCTTAAAAGAGTGATATGATACTACTGAAACTGAAATAGTGAGAAAAGTGCTTAATATGTGAAATAGCTGTAATAAAGGATTGGCCTTACCTGAACAAGAAACACCTCTAGCAGCAGGGAACAACTAGCTAAAGAAGGTAATTTCATAGAAGCAGACTAGTCAATCTAGTATGTCTAAAGGCATCAAGTTAGAGCTTTGGTCATATCTATATAGAAGTCTTTAATCAAAGAAACCAAAATACACTAACAATAATGCAACACCAACCAATGATAAAGAATCAAATTGGAAGTCAAGATGAATTGGAATACATCTCTTAATAACATGATACAAGGCCTATGGTTAGAAGTAGAACTGTTTGCTACTTAAGGAATTTCATAATATTAGGCTAGTCTTTAACAAGATAGATCATTAAAGCAGCTATATAATATGGTTCTGATAATATACTATATAAAGAAATATAAATAGATTAGTTAGTAATACAATATCAGAAAAAGAATATTAAGTCTTGGAGTAGGCAAACTAGTAGCTGTAACAGAGTTTGGTTTGAGATACAGGTTAGTAATACCTGGACAGATAAGTGGGAGATTAAGGTATTTATAGAAAGAGATGGTATATGAAGAGATGCAAACTGGTTAAGACAGTACAAATTCAAGATAAGTTTTTAATCACAATAAAATATTAACTCAATTATGTAGTGATCCTAACTAGACAGCAAGCTCTGGCTTGAGATACAAGGTTATAGAAAGACCATAGCAGTAATCACGATTGCATAAATAAAGTACTTTAGTGAGAACTTGCAATAGATTGTGCTTGCAGATACACCAAATTGGAAGCTCATTAGGAGTGGACACCCAATATATCAAATTAGAAGTTATGACTAGTTGTATAAGATATGGGAGAAATGTAATATTATTAGAAATAGTTAGTTGAGAAGCACAAAATTAGGTAAGACATGTGTGGGGCATATAACACTCTAGTAAATTTAGGTCGTAGATAAATTAGTCTAAGTCTCTATAATGATGTATTAGTATATATGTAAAGGACTTGTCATAATAAATATATATTAATAAAAACCAAAGGTGTGATCTCACCTTAATATAAAAAAAATAAATAAATAAATAAAATTTTATTTGATATTTCTTCTTTTTTTTACTTTTTTGTTATTTTTGTTCTAAGACTTGTATTTTTTTTGATATTAACTTCTT